AATGTGTCTTTTAACACAAAAGTTATTGTATAGAAGGCAACAGTTTTGGGAATGGTAGGTCAAGGTATCTTGTTTGGGCCCTTTTTCTGAAAACCTGCCCCCGCAAGGCGAAATCCGTGGCGCCGTCCCTGTCCGTCCCTAATGCAGGGCGTATTTTAACATGTTAACTGGGTCGGCAATTGCCGACCCAGTCACGGAGAATGCCGACCCAGTGACAGCCGTTTGCCGACCCAGTTGCCGCCCTCTCTAGGATGCAGCACGCACATGCAGGCTAGGTGCCGTCATTCATAGTGAGGCTGCTGCCCTCCGAAATGATAATGCCGCCTCTTAACCCTCGCCCTGGCAGGGGGGGTCGATGCGACCCCCCCCTAAGGTTTTTCGAAGATAGCGTAAAAACGGCGGCGCGCAGCGCCGCCAAATTTGGCACAGCCTATGGGGCAACCTTTTTACATATGACCTGAAAATTTCAGGTCCGGGTGACCTTGGGTCAGGTCACCAGGTCAGAAAAACCGGTACAAGGTCATGGTCAAATTTCAATTTTCTTTTTGCACCTGTCCAACTCACAGTTTTCGACTGATTTCCTTCAAACTTTCAGGATGTGCTAAGTTCACCGAGTTGTATAACATATAGTCCGGTTTTTTTTAGGTCACTGACCTGAGGTCAGTTAGAGGTCATTACGTCGTAATGTTAAGCCTATGGGAAAATACTAAATTCGGAAAATACTGGAGGTATCCGCTTCGTTTGATCTTTTTTTGTGCTTTGAAACCACGGTACTTAACAGCAGGTCACTTGGTGCTTCTTTGTTTGGTGTACTTATCCATGGGTCAGGTCAAATGAGGTCAACTGAGGTCAAATGACGTTTTTGCCAATAACTTGGCACATAATGACGCTAGAGCTTAAAAAATGGTATCATTGTGTTCCTGGTGATCAGCCGAATCAAATGATATGCGATATGATGCAATTTGGTTAACTTGAACTTAATTTATAAACTTAAGTTTACTTAAAATTTAAGAAAAACTTTAAGTACACTTAAGCAAGCTAAAAATTATATCGTTCGACGCGCCTTGACGTGCTGAGTCCACTGGTGCTTTTCTTTTTGCTCTATCTTAATTAGATCAAAAGTTATAAGCGAAAAACTTTTGACCTGTTTTTAGCGAAATTTTTACATTTATACCCCCCAAAACCCCCCTAAATATTGACCTAGAGCAACCAAATTTGCACAGGGGCGAGAACTCCGGGGGGCCCACCTACCTACCAAATTTGGTGTTTCTAGGTGCCATAGGAGCCAATCGCGAGGGGGGGGTCGCATCGACCCCCCCCCCCCCTGCCAGGCCGTGTTATGAAAAATGCCCTGCCAGGGCGAGGGTTAACCCTCGCCCATGTAGGGGGGGGGGTTGGTGCAACCCCCCCCCCTGAGGTTTTTCGGAAATAGTGCAAAAACGCGCCAAATTTTGGGTACCTTATGGGGCAAACCTTGCGCATCTTTTGATTAAAGGTAGTGTGCCACCTTTGAAAGATTTCCCATTTTATTTTTCCTAGGATAAGAAGCTTCTGTTTTTACCTAATATCGCAAAAAAATCAAAAATGGGCCTGAAATAGTGCCTTTTTCGCCTAAAAGTTTTTCGGTTTTTAGATATGTATAACAACTGTAGTGGGCTCACCTGCAAACAGGCGTCGGGCAACAATCGCGAATGCGGCGCACTTGTGACAATAAGCAAAGGTCATTATAGTGTTACGACCATACGACGTACGGGAATGAGTTATCAGCTGTCTAATCGTAGACAACACAATGTCGAGCCTTAAACTGTAAGCCCGTATTGGTATTGTTTCTTTTATTTGGCTGTCGAACATTATTTATGGTTTGAAATATGATTTTATGTAAAATAATTGATATGAAAAAGCCGTCTTATAAGTTATGACCCCATTTCACCACACGCAAGTGGCAGAAATGACAATGATCAGCTGACGCATTTTTCTTGGCCGAAGTCAGAGCGCGCGGCCCGACGCACCACGCGTATTTGGAAATTCCGACCTCGACGAGCATCAGAAGCCACCTAACAGGCGTGTTCGAAACCGCAGGAGATGATGATGAACGGGTTTATCGAAACTTGATTGGATGAGCATATCGGTAATAGCGATTTCAGTGTGTGCATTTATTGTTCATAGTGGTGTGAAATGTGGTTGGGGTACGACCGACAACCCGTCGGGGCGAATTTCGCACTGGGGTACTCAAAATTTGAAGAATTTAAGACGTTTCCATGAGTTTTGAAGGTATGGATAAGTTCTAAAAATCTGGTTCTCCTTATCTGGGCCATTAACTCCATACGGTCCAAGAAAGCTGGCACACTACCTTTAAAAAAAAATTGACCGGGTCATGTCAGGTCACGGAGTTATGACGTCACAAAGGGAACAGCCTCCGGCCGGATTTTCACAAACTGAGTGCCAACGCCCGAGGTTTCCTGCCGGTGGTACGGACATCGGTTGATGGATCGTGATGAAACTTCCCATGCATGTTGGGGCAAGTATTGGCTATCATATGGTATAAGAAACTTGACCGGGTCAGGTCAGGTCACGGAGCTATGACGTCACAAGAGGAACAGCGTCCGGTACTATTTTTGAAAAGCGCCCGAACCACTATTTTGCTAATTCTTGTCACCTCAATGGGAATATGCAGCAATATTAGCTTCTATAGGGAGCAAATGGACCTCCCAAATCCAAAAATACAATCAGATTTCAAAAATTTAAATTTTGATTTTTCGATTTTCTGCCGCCGACTGTGACCTTGCCGACTTCCGGCGCTCCCAACGCGCCATTGTTAGAGCTAGGGAAACGAAATACATACCAAACGATAGAGAATTGATCAAGGAACACGATAGTGAAGGTTTCAAGTCGATATCTCCCACCGTTTTGCCGCAATCGCCGCGGAAAGTTGAAAAAGTCTATTTTTTCCGAAAATTTGACCTTTGACCGGTCAAAAGTAGGTCAAATGTTGACCTAGGACCAAAAAATATACCACCAATCGCGAGATCTCGGCGAGAGCAATCCGTTCGTACCGGGACGGCTGGGACCACTTCTGCGCCTGCCATCTATCGGGCAGTGTTTGAAACTACAGCGGGCGCCGGCCGGCCGCGCCGCGCGGCGCCGTTACCGGGCTATGGAGGCGAATGAAGTGGTGTAAAACCAGACGAATTTTACGCTTGTAAAGCAAAAAACGAAAAATGTACACACACCACAGTGTTCAGCAAAGTACTGGGAACAATATGGATATAATTTAAAGCTAGTACGATGCGAACTGTTGGTTCCCTAGAGCAGTATTTACATACTTGTAGGAGATAGGACTTTAACATTACGGGAGCTTCTAAACTGCGCTCGCAAAGTACTTGATTGTAAATATTTTCATTTAGAGGCAAAAATCTAAAAATGTACAGTCAGAGCGTTGTTCCCAATGCTTCTAGGCGCACAATGAGCATAAATTTAGCTCGAAATGTCATCACACATTGGTTCCCAGTCCAGTTTAAAACGACACTTTGTGCCGCAGAGCCTATCTCTTCCAATGGATGGCGGCTGGGTGGCGGTTGTAGTGGTGGACAAGACAATTCTTGAGTGAAATGAAATCATTTGCTTTCAAAGAAGAATTTTGAAGAACTTGTAATAATTGACAAATGATCGTTAATTACAGTGTATAATTTCAAGTTCATGGCAAATGAAAATATTTTAAACAATGCTAATGAACCCCAGTACCGCCGCGCGAGAAAACAAGTACTCGACGCACGGTCTGCCCGCCACTTCTGAAAATGGTCCGCGGCCGGCCGGCCGCGACCCGACACGTGGTCTTTTCCGCTAAGCTTTACGACGCTCCGTTTTCAAACGCCAAGGGGGGGGGGGTCGCACCAACCCCCCCTGCATGGGCGAAGGTGGCAGATCGCCGTTTACGGGCGAGGGTTAAGCTTGACGATACGGATCGACTGGTATGCAACATTTTTTATTTATGGTGAGGTCATGAACTTGACCTCAGGTAAAATTTTTAAATTAATTTTTGTAAAGTCAAATTATAGTTCATTTGTCGCATTATGACAAAAGAAATACTATATCCCGGAAAAATAGACGTAATACCGCTGAGCTTAGGTAGGTTGAATCTGAAATCATTACTTAGAAAGACTTATAAAAGAACCGTCGAACGTGTCTTTTTTGTCATTAAATATCAGTAGGTATGGCGCCCCCCTCAGATGCCAAGTGCCGCCGCTATGAGTGCAAAATGCCGCCCCTAAATGTGATTGCCGACCCAGTGAAAATCCCTTAAAATACGCCCTGCCCTAATGCTAAAGGCAGTGTTGTGTATCTAATATAAAGCTGAACGAGAAACGGATTTTTTTGCACTCCCGACCAACCGGCCTACATTTACACCATTGCTCGAGGAGGTGCTCCTCATACCATCCCCGAAAAGAAGAGACACGCAACAATTTAACGCTTTGTGCGCCACATCGAGTGGCGAAACAATCAGAAACAGAATCACGAAAACCCGGCACGCCGCTCTGTGGGCAGAATATTTTGTCATGACGTCATACTTTTGAAGCTCCATCCCCCCCCCAGGCCCCCGCGCCTGCCGATAATGCCTACAACGCGAGCGTCATAAGGCATCGGGCATCTCATAACATTAGCCGTGGCATGAGCACAGGCGAGCCGGCGGTGGCCGGAAAACTTGGCACTATATCGCCCGCATATCGACTCGTCGATCGCTTTTGGCCGTCTGAAGAGTACGTACCTACCACAGCACTCAGCAGTCGCGTCGCGCCAGTGCAGTTAGAGGCCAGATCAGAGTACATAGAACGGCCCGATTGCGGCTGACTGGCACCGGTGGGACGGGACAGGACAGGTGTGCCGGCTCAGCGCTCCCCTCCTCCCCAATGTGGACACAGGTGTGTCATCGCAACGGTGACCTCCCGCCGGCCGATCTTGTCACCCCTCCCCGTCCGTCCCCCTCCCTCCTGACCCCTTCTCACCTGTCTGAATGGACATGGCACTGCGGCCCTCCTCTCACATCAGATGGCCGGTCGCATTCCGCGTCTGTGAGCCGATCGTTGAAAACATCGGCTGACCGCGCTGGGCGGCACGGCCCGCCGAGCGCTGACGAATAATGGATCGGTCCGGGCGGCGCCGCCGGCACTCGGCAGCAGACGGCCCCAGCCCAGCCGCGCCAACCGCCGCCCGCACCGACACAGGCCGACCACCACCAGCCACCGGCGCACCGCCCGCGCAACACAGCCGCCGAAAATGTGATCTGACCCCCAGTGCCTCCGACACAATGTCACTTCGCACACTTCAGGAGCGAACAATCCCAACCTGAACCACAGCAGCTATCCAACGCGGGCCGACTGATCGGCGAGTGTGACGTCACTGCGCGGCGCCGCCAGCAGCGACATCTCTCGGCGGAGTCTAGAGCTGTAGTTCTGAAAACAGAGAGAAGATGCCAGGAGAGTCGGAGCACCGAGACAGAACCAAGCTTCTTGGAGCCGCAGTCGCCAGTCACATGACACTTTTCCCAACCTTTCTTACCATTTTCATAAGCTTTGATTCATTTTTCAAACATCACATTATGGGATGGTTTTAATTTGTCTATTTACAAAACTTTATTCGAACGGTAACCGGACAAAAGATCGTACAGCAGAAGATCGTGAAGATCGTAGGAAGTTGATCGTATGCAAAAGATCGTAATGGATAAAGATCGTATGACATAATACTCGTATTGATAAAAGATCGTATTCGCTGAAGATCGTCAGGGAAAATGATCGTATGCCAAAAAGTCGTATGATAAATATCGTACGGCATAATGATCGTATAAACAAAAATTCGTATGCGCAAAAGATCGTCGGTGAAAATGATCGTATGCCAAAAATCATATGTGTGATAAAGATCGTACAGTAAAATGTTCGTATGGACGAAAGATCGTCTTCGCAAAAAGATCGTCAAGGTAAATGATCTTACGCCAAATGATATATGAGTTAAAGATCGTACAGTCAAAATCTGGTGTGCAACCCAACTCCAGCGCACAAAAAGTCTGTGGTCGGTACGGCACGACACCTAGCAATGGCGTTGACGTACGGTTGTGCGTGTGCCGGCCAACCCCGAGTTACGAGCGGGGGGCTGGCAGTTGTGTAATGTAGGGGAGAGTGAGGCACATTCGTGCACATGGGGCACATTCGTTTTCAGCAGTTTATGGGAACACGAGTGACTGCACGAGCTCAAGGTATATTATGGAAATATATCTATAGGCCGAGCTACACTATGCGTGATCGTCCAGGAAATTACGTGCGTGATCTGCGAGTTTGCGGGTTTTGCAAAAAAAATCGGTACGCAGATGAAGTTCAGCTGATAGGAAATGCACAGGGTCGGCTACACTGGGGTCACGCAGATTCAGTCAAGGAAATCCCGGATAGTCAGGACGGTCAGGATGTTCCGTGCCGATATAAAGTTCAGAGCTACGAACTTTTTTGCAGAATCTGCGAGATTGCGTGATATGAGACAGTTGTTGTCGTACTTGGTGGCCCACCGTATGAATCAGTGACGTAATTAATAATTGTTTCTTTAATTTTCATGTGTTATTGATGTTTTATTTCCAAATTAACTATTTATCGATAACATAGTATAAAAGATAGCAAAATTAAGCGTTTGTTGCGAAACCAGACATTACTTGTTATTATTACGTCAGCGTACAATAATTCACGGAAATTCTGGAAAATCGCAGAAGCCGATGTCAAGGGAGTCTCGCAAACACGGATCTGCAGATCACGCACGTAATTTCCTGGACGGTCACGCATAGTGTAGCTCGGCCTTATCATTGCCGCCCTTCGTTCACTGTGGAAGACAACACTGTACCTGCTGTCATGCTGGATAAAAACGCCAATTTGTAATAGGTATTCGTGCGTTTTTCAAACTTTTCTCATATCATCCATTTTCGTGATCGTGACTCAGAAATGTGGTTCAGCTTTTTAAAATTGGGGGCGAAAAAGCTCACTCTATTCACGGAATCGCTGCAAACTCGTTTGCTGAAAAAAATCATTTTTTCAACAAGAAATTTTGAAAAACCTATATCACAAATAACGTTGAAGGGCAGGTTCGTGTACGCACTGGTTATTCGTGCATTTTTTTTTTATAGTTTTTTGCGATTTATGACTTTATCTGTAGAAGGTTTCACTAATGACGCTCGTCTGACTCAGTCTCGGCTGCTTGCGACGTCATGACAAGTAATTCACGCGACCTTGGCGAGGTCACGGAGGCCGGCCTCATAGGCGGCGGAACGGGGAGGGCACCGGGGCACCGTGCCCCCCTTTGATTTTGGTATTTTAACATTAGCCCTATGGGCGATGCATGGAAAGAATGGGACCAAAAGTCGGCAGTGCCCTCCCCCCTCGCCCGCACATGCCATTTTCCCATCCTAGAACGCGCATGGGGTGCGCACATGGGGGTGGTTGCCACCCCCCGCCGCGCCATTTCGTTCCTGTTGGAGAAAGAGCTTCGCGGTTAAGACCAAAAAGATTCTCTGGGAAGAGACAAATCCAATGATACCCAGTTTTACCTTCTCAGGTCAGTCATTGACCTTCCAGGTGAGGCCAAACTAAAAAAATGTTGCTGTTTTGGGTCACCGTTGGATATCAAGTGCGCTGCTCATCATACACCGATGACTATGCCGAATTGTGGTGCCAAGCCAGCAAGAACCTCTTTGTCACACTATCCGACCAAGTTTTTGCTGCTGAGGTCATTTCAGGTCAAGTTAGGTCAATGATATGTGTTTGTATGTATGTGTGTGTCTGTGTGTATAGGTAGGCCTACTGATGTGTGCACCGATTGTTTATGTGTCCATAGGTATTACATGAGATCATGAAATGAGAAGCTTTTATCAAAAATACAGTCGAAGAAACTTCACGAAAAGTAAATTCAGCTTGCCTAAAAAGCAATGTTTGTAGATGACCTAGGTTGACCTTGACCCTGACCTTGACATCGGTACATCGTCGAACAACATGTTACATGGTAGGTGGGAGGTAAGACTGGCAAAAAGGCCGAAATCAAGGTGTCAAAAGCTCACAAGACCCATAGCCCATAGGCGGCGGAACGGGGAGGGCACCGGGGTACCGTGCCCCTTTAATTTTGGCATTTTAACATTAGCGCTATGGGCGTTGCATGAAAAGAATGGGACCAAAAGTCCATGCAGTGCCCCCTCCTGTTCCGCCGCTACTGGCATAGCCAACGCAAGATATTGGATATTTCGACACCTTTTTTTTAAACCCCACATTTGTTCTCCGGTGAATTTCAGACAAGTTGGTTAGAGACCTTCAAAAAAGGTACAATCACTCGATTTTTCTCAAGTTTGTCTGTCTTGGCAGATAAAGCAATACCAGAACAGGCCTACGAACGTCGAACACACATATTTGATCAGGATCGGACGATTGGACACTTTTAAAAGGAGATCTTTCGTGCCTCCCGGAAATTCACGGGAGAGCAGATGTGGGGTTTAAAAAAAAGGTGTCGATTTGTCATTTGGGTCATGGCATGACCTGAAGAACAAGGTCATATCACCGAAAGTAAAAACCACAAAAAACTTGAAATTTTCAGTGGACGTCAAGAAAGGATAGATGAGCAGCTATACGAAAAATCAGGCTTCTAGCTCTAAAAAAGTTTTGAGTGCAGAGCAGTAAAACTACCTGGGGGTGGCAACCCCCCCCCCCCCCTCCATGGGCGGGCGAGGGTTAATTGAAGGTGTTCCGCCGCTTCTGCCCATAGGTGGGGCAGTTTCGTGCAAACGTTCAGAGTTATTAAAAGTCATTTTTTCTAATAGAAGCAATAATTTTAGAGGATAACTTTTAAGAGGAAAAATATCTGCAATAGTTTCTTTCTATACTCCAATCAAGAATTTTGCCGTTGCCAGGGGCGTCGTTTTGTATAGGCCTGGGAGTGCCCGAGCACTACCAATGTTCAGCTGAGCACTACCAATGTGTTGTTGAGCACTACCAACATTTTTCTTCACTTATTGAGAAAATTGCATTCAAACATGTCATACAAATAAAATGAATGAGGTTCTTATGTATAAAATCAACATGATAGCAAGTAACTTCAATGGTAAGTGGTAACTAAAACCACTTATAAATTTTAGATAGGTACATACCTACATGTGTTTTTACTGTTGATACCTCAATCATATCATTCTGCTCATTGCCATTTCGCACTAGTTCTGAATCTATCCTGTTTCTACGCCTTCACTGTCCTGATTGGATCACCCATCGCTTAACAGTCTGCTTCTGGTTCATTCACCCATTTTCCATTAAGCGTTGAGGTGGGCTGGCACCTAAGATAGTTGTCTCTCGTTTAACCATCAGGAGTGCAGAGTCGCCTGAAGGCACTGGAGCCGCGTGCACTTTTTGTGCATTGCACCGCGCACCGGCTCAACCTGGTGGTGCAAGACACTCTGGACGGTGTGCGCGAGGTACGCGACCCTATCCACGAGGTGGCCAAGTTGGTCACCTTTTACCGCGACTCGCCAAAGCGACAGGTGAACCTGCGGGACGCAGGGGCGTCAACCGCGCTCCGCCCCCTCTGCCCCACCCGGTGGACGTGCCGTGAAGGGTGCTTGGCGTCCATCATGGAAAACTATGTGGCGCTGGGTGACAGCCTGGAGGCCATCGCCGACGATTCATCGTCCCGCTCCACCGTGGCGAGCACGGCGAGTGGCTTCGCTCGACTCCTGCGCGAGTTCCGATTCTTCTTCGGTGTCCGCCTCGCGCACCACGTGCTCCGCCTCACGACGCCGGCTATGCGCTCTGTTCAGGGCCAAAGTCAGTCCCTGTCGGACAACCTGGGGCTGATTGAGTCACTGCACGCGGCCGTGACCGGCCAGCGGGATAAGTACGACCAGTTCTAGGAGGCGACAGTCTCCCAAGCGGAGACGCTGGGGGTGGACGAGCCCCGAAACGTCCGCCAGAGCCGACCACCCCGCCGCCTGGACGACGGAGTGCCGCCGGACCACCCATCCACACCTCGCGACGCCTAGCGGCGTGTGTATCTGGAGGTGGTGGACCGGCTGCTGGCCTCCCTCGACACCCGGTACACCGGCGGGGACCAGCAGCGCCTGCTCCAGGCCGAGACGGCGCTGCTGACCGGAGATGCGGCTGGCGTGGCGCGGGCCGCCGCCTTCTTTGGGCTGGAGGTGGACAGGGCCGTCCTCCACTGCCAGATGCTGCAGGACATCTGTCGGCAGCGAGGTGTGCAGCTGGCCTCCCTGCAAGATGTCGTGACCGTCCTCCGCGACGCCACCGTGCGCGCCATCCTGCCCGACAGCTTGACATACGTCAAGCTGTTGCTAACGCCGCCGGCCACCTGGTGCTCCGCGGAAAGGAGCTTCAGCCTGCTTCGGCGGCTGAAGACCTA